CCCCCCCCGCCACTTCACTCCCAGGCGCTGCACCCGTCTACCCAGGCGTCTCGGCCGGCTCGCGCAGTCACCGTCGCCTGCGCCGAGCCACGAGAAATTGCTTCGGCAGCACTGCCCGGCTTTGATTAGCGCTGCTGACAAGTAATTACATCACGTAACGACGTCACTTCCTGGTTCCCCTCCCCTCACCGACGTTCGCCCCCCCCCCTCTCGCTCGGTGGCGAAGAGAGTCGCAAGGCGGTGTAGAGACTCTTTGAAAGGTTGAAACGATCTCGTCGCGGCCTTCCCCTCGGCGTCGTTTTCAGAGCGAGCGTTAATTTTTTTTTTTTTTTCGTTTCGTTCGTTTTTTCTCGATTCGACTGGTAACTAGATTTTGAATTCAAGGCCCTTGGCGGCGCGTTGTAGGTGATTAGATTTTCTTCTCTTTTTATTCATCGCGACTCGGTCATGGCGGTGCCTCTCCAGACACTTCGGCGCAGTCGGGCTTCTTTCGCTTACTTCTGGGGGCTCTGCGGCTGAATATTAATTATTATGAAAATGAGGTGGAGATGAGTGTAATGCAAGTTCATCAGGTTCAATGCAGAGTACTTTTAGTGTAGACCGATTCATGTGAAATCATGCCGGCATGTAGGTTTTCTGATTCGATTTTTAATTTACTAATTGATTATTATCGCTTCAGGGTTCTCCATCATGGTTTTGTGGGAAAATTAAAAGCATGTTATTTTCCATTCTCTCCAGTTACCATAATATCTTTCTGCTACTATTCAAGTCCTAGTCATTAATATGCTGGTACGTTCTATTATTCTGCGAGAAGTTTAATTCATAGTGTTCATTTGAATGATGTCTGTTACGAACTCTGAAATGAAAATAAAATAAACGAAAAAAAATTTTAATTATGTCTTCAGCCGAATTGATGCTGTTGATCCTAAGAATGTATTCAAATTATTTTCTGTTAATTTCAAAAGTGTTACATTCAAAATTATTATTGAAAAAAATTAATTTTATTTGTGAGGAATGGTTCTATTTATAGAAACTGCAAGACCGCCTTTTGCACTTAAGTACTTTCATAATACGACAATTAACATGAATATGTTTGAGTGTGGATGACTGCCATATGAAGAAACACATACGTAAACGTTTAATCCATATTTTTTTTTTTAATTCAGTGCGTATGAAACGTTACCCTTATGGTGCAGTAATTCTATAGTATTACCACACATTTATAATGAGCTTCAGTATGCAATTAAGCAGGCAGTAAACGTCACATATTAAATATTCTCATTACGTGTATCTTTTGTTACCGAGCACGCGAGTCTAGTTATGATTACACCTAATTTTTTTTTTAAATTCTGCCTCTGAGGGCAAAGACGTTCCTTCACGTGCCCGGAGAAAGTGAGCGGGATCGGCCATATGGGAACCGCTCTGTAAGGGTGCACATGGGCCCCGCGGGCGGTCAGGGCACTCTGCGTGGCAGGTAGTTTCGCGCACGCCCAAGTTCCGTGCGGCGCACCATCAGTGCACCAACTTGAGCGCGGCGAGCGGGTGCGAACGTGCGACAGAGGCGGAGGCGGTCGACCGGGAAGGGAGCGGGAACGGGGGCACCCGCCGTAATACCAAGCCGATAGTAAATCAAATTTCTGGAATTTACCGGAAATTCCGCTAGTTTGGGCGGCCGCGTAACGAGCACCCCGGCCCCATGCTAATGAGGCAGGCTTACCAACTTGGACGTGCGCCGGGCGGCGAGACGAGCGACCGTGAGCACAGTTAGTTTTGCCTAGGGGTTGGCACTATTGTGTGTCTGCGTGCGGCGCGGCGCGGCGCGGCGGGGCGAGGCGGGAGGTGGCGCGGGAGACAATGGGGCGCGCACGAAAATTGAGTTACGAGCCGCGCTAAACCCATTGCCCGGTCCGGCGCAATCAGCGAAGCCGCCGCCGCCGCCGCCGTCGACGCTGCAGCCGCCGTCGCCGCCGCCCTCGTCGCCTCGCTGCTAATTGCCGGCTAATATCCGCTCGCGGACGCTGTCGCCGTGAGGCGGAGATGTTGCAGTCGCCCTACTTTCTTCGCAATATTGTGTTCGCCTAGAAATCCGAAAACAATTTTCAAATGGTATTACTGTCAAGCGGTATTACTGATAGGCACGTTTTACAGTTTGGTTTAAGGTTGTCCTCATTCGTCGAAGAGGCGTGAAGAGGTAAATAACTTCATGAAAGGGTTATTTATGATCATTAATTTGGGATTATGTATAATTATTAAATATTTACCTGACAAAAATCGAGTACAATTGTTCTCAGTGAGGTTATGTGAGTATGCTCTGTAGAACTCTTTCATTATTAAATTATTATAAATTACAGACTGTGACATTATTTTTAAATGTAGAGGGTTTTTAGAATGAGATCCGTGTACTTTTCTAATATGTATTTCTTCGTTTTGCGTTTTATGGGCTTGCAACTATCTTTGTTAATTAACCTGCCCATCCATTTTTCAATTATCATGAAATCTTTAAATTGAATTAGATTTCTCACACATAGAGAAAATGTTTACTAATGCGTTTTGTAGAACTCATATCGAAGAATTGATACACAACCATCCCACATCCTTTCTTGAAATATTTTCGCAGTATCTGATTTTCGTATCAGAGGTAATTTGCCGCTGTATTGTGCAATCCACGTTCTGATCGTTCTCGGGAGCGGAGCCGTTTCCGAGACGAATGCGGCAGTGACAAATCGAAGTAAGCGCGCGGGCATCGATTTACGATGACCTCGTTTACGGAAGAAGCATTATTTTCGGCATCGATCTGATTATTCTTTAATACGCCGTCGTCTTAGCGCACACGCGCTCGACATACGGAGCGTAAGAAAATGTGTTCCGTTTCGAACGCTATAACCTTTCGCATCGATCCTCAACTATTGCTGCTCGCTCGACCCACATAATTCGCCTCTGTTTCCGCGGAGAGCCGCTCTCCGTTTGGTATTCCATCTCCGTTAACCAGCCTGTGTCTCGTTTGCCGTTCGTATATTTTATTTATGAACCCACGAGGCGAAATTGGGTGAGAATACATCTCTTCCGTAAAGAAGGCCTTAGCGGATGCGGCAGCGCGGCGGCGACGGGAAACTGGCCGAGACGCGAATAGTGCGTCGTTTTCCGGCGCGTCAGAGCTTGCGGGTGCCGCACTTAAGGTGTTGCATCAAGCCAACTGCCGTTTCGGGGCTTGTCGTCTTAGCGAAATGCTCGGTCTCTCTGCGCCTTCGACGCTCGTTCGTTCGCCCTAAGAAGGTAATTTCTCCTCCCGTTTTGAGCGGGGCTTTGTCGCTGCAGCGTCGGCACGATCCGGTTTCATCAGTCCTTTTGCTGCCGAAGACATCGCAGGGCGAAGAACGCTCATAAAGAAACGTAGTGTGTTTTTTTACAAGCTTTGCCTCTGTCTGGGTTTACTGTGAGTTGTAAATAAGTAGCGTCAGCGACCGAGGAGAAAGCGGAGTAATTTTGACGCTTCGTCTCAGTGTGTTTTTCGGCGGATGTGAGTGTTTGCTTCATGTTGTTACTTTTCCTTGCTGATGTCGAATGTTTCCTTGTTGCAGAGAGATTCGATGAGTCTGGAACCGAGCGACGTGGCCAACTGCGTCTCTAAAGGGAAATCGGAGGTGAGTACTACTTTCAATTCACAATTTAAAAGTACAACATATCCTACTATGAAATGTCAACTATGCTATGAAATTCAATATTCCTTTTTTCAAAATAAGAATGTTATTTTGAAATTTTAGAGAATAAAGTTTAAAAATTTCGCACCGCCCGTATTGTGCAATACTTGCTGTTAATATAACCGAAAAAAGATCAGTTGGGTAGAATATTCCACGTTGTCGTCTTTTATTGATGATTTTGGTACATTCTCACTTCAAACTTTGAGTTCAGATCTGAATTCAATATCGTCTTTTTCACGTTATAGACAACCTTCATGTCGATCGGTTGAAGTAAATCAAGTGCATGTAACGTCTTTGTGGAACACCAAGTTGTGGTAATCGTCTTTGTCCAAGAGATACATTATTCATGTATGGTTTTGTATTAGGTTTTAAGTTTTATGGCACATATTCTTAGGATGTTTCGTAACGATCCTCCCCAATTCATCGATATCTGGAATTAAACAGTCTCGCAAGAGAGAGGGCGGAAATTGAGTCTGGTGCATCAGCATTCCGCACTTGAAGCGCGGCGAACGTCTTGCTGCTTCCGAGCGCGGCAATAAATTGTCTGTGCATCGTAAAACCGGTGAAGGCTATTTTGGTGCCCTACATTAAATATAGAAGCGAACTTCGTATGATCTCTGCCGCGCGACTCCATTTTCTATGTGTAGCACAAGTGGCCATGTTAGTCACGTTTCTTTTCTGGTGTTGAGAGAGCATAAATAGCTGTGTTTGATCTCGAGATCTCTTAAATTCTTGTAATAATATATCATAAGGTAAAGCTATAATGAGTTTTGTTTTGTTGACAGTTATATTGCACTACTCTTGTTTCGGACTGTTTCTCATATTTTGTGTGAGGATATTTTTTATCGTTAAGGAACGGCTGTAAGTCACGAAACCTTCTTCTTTCTTTCATATGTTTTTCAAAGACATTTTTGTTGGTGGTTAATTTTCAAATTTAGATTTATTCAGCCAAAACGTTTTCCAGACATAGATAAATGTATGAACGCTCAACATTCTTTAAGTCGAGTTTTCTTTCTCTTGTTAATGAGGGAATGCCACTAATTACAGGTAACTTTGTTATTCTCTGCTTCCAAATACTACTCCCACCACCAAATACTGTTGACCTTTTTAGATCTTCAACTTGAGATGGTGCATCGAGTTTTCATGGGGCGAAAAAAACGAAAATATTAAACATCGTTCACGTATTATTTAATACCAAATACGAAATAAAAAAATTTTATTTTTCTAAATTAAAATAATATTCACAATACAGTGCACCGACTCAAATCCTGCTCGCACCTGTCGTGGGTCATGAAACGAACAAGTCGCCGTGTCCTTTCTTTGAGAGGGTACCCCGCCTTTCTCTCACTCGCGCGTGGAGTCCCGCGTTCGCATCCCGAGAAGGTCTGCCCCAGCCCGCCCGAAGTGTATAGGCAGTGTGGCGCGGGGCGGCGCGGGGCGGGGCTAGGCGCGCGCCTCCCGTGTTGACCGTGCGGAGTGACGGCCGGGCGGCGGCGCTGCACAAACACGCTGGTAAACAGCGGGCTTTCAGCGGCCCCTCGGCTCCCTTCGCCGCCCGCTCCCACCCCTTCCCGCCCTCAACCCTCCACGCACATCCCCACCACTTCCCACCAACCCCATGGTCTTCATCTCCCTCCGACGACCTGTTCATCCCCGTCCCCATCTCCTCCTTCCACCGCCGTTCGACATCTCTCCACGCCCGCCGCCGCCTCCGTCGTTCCCACCGCCCTCGCCGCCCCCGCAGCGGCCGCCGTCGCCGCCGCAACCCGCGCCGCCGCGGCCGGATGAAATTGGCTAACGGCCGTGCCCGAGAGGAGAAATTGTTTCCAAATCTCCCGATAATTTGATTCCGATCCCGCGCCCTCTGCCTGCTCTGCGCTCGCCACTGCCGTAGACGCGGCGGGGTGGGGAGAGGGGGCGCGCTTGGCCAGCTCGGCGGTGGAAGACGCCCTTTTCTTGTTTTGAAATTCCTGGCGCGGCCGCGGGGGCGGTGGGCGCTGGTGCCGTTTGATCCCTTCGGCCTCTGCCCGCCGTCCACGCCGCTCCCCTCCCGCTCCACAACTTCCCCCCGCCCCCTCTGCGTCGGCGCTCAACCGCGCTTCCCCTCGCCGCGCGTCGAAATGTATGTAAACCGAGGAGCGGGGCTGTATTTTCCCACTGCGAAAGTTTTCCACAGACCTCTTCCGTCGTCTCCCTCACCCTCTTCCAACGTTTTTTTTTTCTTTCTTTTTTTCCTCAGCACATCCAACGTTTGTATTATACAATATTAGGGATGACATGCAATTTTTGTGTTGAATAATGCGATTGTTGACTGTTTGCTCAGAGTGACTGGCACTCAAAGACATTAACATGGCTCTAATATTTGGTTTAGTTGAATATTTCATTCATAAGTGTTAGAATGCGTGTTTTCCTCGTTATTTAATGGAAATAAATTGTTGGAATCATATATTTTCGTCGTAAACGTGCTGTTACATTTTTTACGATGCTAGAAATTGTTTCCTCCTTCGTTTTTAGCTGTTAGAATCATGGGAGGAAAACGAATTGCCAGAGAAGGAAATATTGCTGACTCGGAAATGCTGTTGCGTTTTTCTGAAGTATCAAACACTTTTCAGATTTACAACCTATCATTATGCGTCGTAGAGAAATGTAACTAAACATGCGTATAATTAATTGGATTGTTGGTGATTTATCAAAATGCGTATAATTATTAAAATACCAATATTCAATATTCTTCTTTTCTGTGTCCATAAATGTTGGTACTTTACTTTCTGTCAGTTGGTGATTTATATCTAATATTTAAAGTTGCGTTCTAAAAATGAAAAGAAAAACTCTTTTGCACAGATGAGTCCACTTGCAGTTGCTCATTTATTTGCCCGTTGACAAACTCTTCTCTCGTTTTAGAGACTCCCAAGCGAAGAGTTTGCTCAACGAAGTAGCAAAACGAAGCACGAGACAAATCCCTTGCTCTCGACGAAGATACTATACTTGGCCTAGAACGACTCCCCGCGCCGCCCGCTGATCTCCGTGACAGTATAGCGGGCGCCGGCCTTCGTCTGTTTACGCGGGCGAATGCAAAGCACTTGTTTATCCCGCGAGGAAGCACGACAAAAAAAAAGAAGGCTACGGCAACGCTCAAATCTGCGGACTGCCTTTGTCTGGTGGGTGGACGCGGGGTCATTGTTCACAATCTCCGCGCTCGGGGCTGGAAGTCTGCGACGCCGTGGCCATTACGAAGAGCAGCGCGGGGAGCTGGAGGGAGGACGACATCGAGGCTACGACCTCCCGGAACGAGCAGCGAGCGGCAACGCCGGGGATCAGTTGCTGATGGAATTGGAGTGTAGATGGTGGAAACAGCGGTGGGATTGTAGTAGGAGGTGGTATTGGGGAATTATTGTGATGATGGCCACACTTGGAGGAAATGTCGATGGGTGTAATCGGAGACAGAAGTGCACTCGGTAGGAATAGAATAAAAATGATCGTGAAAATAGTGGCATTTGCAATGTGGCATGATTTTTTGACAAATACATTGACTTTTTTCGGACAATTATTTAATAGCAGTCCAATGCAGCTTTGAAACTAGTGAAGGTTGGTCAAATAAGGCGTCATCCATTCGGAGAGAAGTTAATAGAAATCGTTGAAGAATCGGTTATGAATCACCGATCTGTCTGAAAATACGTCACTTTTGGTGATGTACCGGAAGTCAGGAAATAATAGTTCCGGACGTGGAACTATCCAATGTTGATAATACTGAAACCTAAAAAGAGCGACATCAAAATTTCAGGGTAAATTTAGGATTATGATT